CTCGAGATTCCGCTCGAGCTCGTAGTTGACTTGGCCAGATCAGCCTTAAGCGCCTGGCTGACTGTGTGCGGCTTAACGCCGCTCTTGTTGGTGACGATGGCCGACCGCTTGCCGGCGGTCAGCTGCAGCTTTGTCCCTTTCTTGAGCCGACGTACCTTCATCTGCTCCTCCTCCGCGATGTTGACCTCCTTCGGGTCGTTGTCGTTCTCGATGTCCAGCGTGACCGAGTTGCCGAAAACACACTCGGAGCAGAACCCGAGGTGGCAACAGTCTGTGTAGGACTTGGTGCCGCAGGCCACGCAATCGTCGAGGGGCTCGGCGATGCAGGTAGTAGCCGAAATCGTTGTTGGAGCAAACGTCGGCGGCGCGACCGCCGTCGAACAGCAGACCAACGCAGAGCTTACGGCGGCCATGAGCCTTGAGCTGCCGCCGCGTCGCTGTTGAAGTCGTCTCGGTACATTGAGCTCCTTCTTGGAGATGAGTCTCGTGATATTCTCGAGCAAGTTGCTCGCCTTCGTAGTGAGGTTGACCGTGGGCTTCGGGGCTGGCCGCTTGGCGATGCCCTTAGTACTGACAGCCTTCGGTCCAAACTCGTGGCCCGCGCCCTTGATGGCGAACCAGTCCTCCGGGTGGAGGTCGATCGCGGGATGTCCCGCGCTGCTCGTGATGAGCTTCTGGGAATGGTTCCCGATGCGGATCTGTTCCCGCCAGAGCGAGATGTCGATCTTGCTCGGCTGAATGATGTCCCGGCCGATAAGCAGGCCGAGCGTGGGACTGTCTACGACGCTGAATATTATGCGACCAGCACGTCCACACAGGACGAGTGGGGCTGTGACGCGCAGCTTGCTCGGGAGCGTGCCGCCGTTCCCGAACCTGTAGACTTCGTTCTCGGGCTCCTCCAGGATCTGGTCGGCCAGACCCATCTTGGTGAGCTTCTCCGTGTACTGCTTGTACCAGCTGAGCCCGCCAACGCAGAAGAGACAGGCAGTGTCGATCACGCCGACGCCGTCGTCGTTGGGCTTCTCGCCAGCGTTGGTGGTGTTTATGGTGGGCAAATCTGGTACCACGCGCTCGGAGACCAGAGTCTCGGGGGGCGGGGTGATCGGACCTTCTGGATGAAGAATCACTTCTTCGTCACCGAACTCCACGTGGTTCTGATCGTGGACCTGCTCGGTGATGTTGGCCTGGCGGTGCGAGCGACCTCCGCCGCCTCGTCCTCCGCCCTTCTGCTTAGAATTCGGGGCGAACTTTCGAGCGCCTGGTGTCGGGCACTCCTTGTCACCGGTCCAGTGCCCCGCCTCGCCGCAGTCCCAGCACTTGGAGTTCTTCTTGCGCTGGTCCACGCGGCCTTGTAGCTTGCCCGCGGGTCGGCGCTTGGGCGAAGCCTTCCCGCGGCCCTTGATAGCCTCCCGGGCCGACCGTATGGTCGCCATGGCCTCGGGAATCGCGGCGAGTTCCGCCGCGGCAGCCTCCACCTTGGCAGAGTCGTCCCGGTCGAACACCTCGCCGAGGTCGTAATTGGACTGCTCCAGCTCGGCGCTGAAGGCCTCGAGCTCCTGGCGCACGATGTCCTGGACGTCTGCCTCCGTGTCATTGTCATCGCCGTCCTCCGAGTCCTCGTGCTCGTCTTCTGGCTCGTCAGCGATGTTGGCTGAACGTGCTCGACTTGGCTGTGAGCGCTGCCAACTGCTATTTGATCGCTGCGGCCACGATCGTGACGGCAAGCTTGTGTGTCGTTCCGATGTATGGATATCGGGGAACATGCGCACCAGCAGGCCCCTGATGCGCTGAAATGAGTAGTGCTCGTCCGGCAAGTTGCCCACGACGCGCTCACGGCGCTCGGCCGTGAGCCCAGCCTTGCGTAGCAGGAACCAGCCGGCCACGTCATCAAGCGTAGTGAGGTCAACCTCGTTCTCGCGTAGTTGCTGTAGTCCCGCTTCGAATCGCACGAGCCAGTCCGTCATGCGTTCTCCACGGCGGCGATGGTGCTGAGTCGACTCGAAGAACTTTTCTAGCGTCTCTCCCTTCTGCACCGGCTTCTGCTGGCCTAGGTTTGTCTCGAGATGCTTCAGCGCGTTCTCGATGCCCTTCTGGTTGCGATCGCGCTTCTTCTCGTTCACATCCTCGATGCCGTCGTCCGGCGGCGGGTGAAGGTCCTGCTCCGTCATATTGAGAGCAGCCGACCTGGCGGTGCCCGTCAACCGCAGGACTTACTTCGATGCCAAACTTTGCGTCACTTCTAAGTTCTCACTGAGCTTCCATAATTTTACCTCCTGTTTGTAATCTCGCCATTTCGCTGGATCTCCATTCCAGCTTGGTATCACTGACTGGTTGTGCGTGAACTCCGTCATCCTGTCTATGAATGGACTGCAAGAAATACCAGACCACGAAATAAAGTCAAAGTTGAACTCGATGCCGTACTCGATGTCGGCGCCTGCCGTGTCGATGAGCTGGTGGGAAAACTCGATGCCGTAATCGATGTCGGCGCCTGCCGTGTCGATAAGCTGGTGGGAAATGACACCGTCGTAGGAGAAGTATGTGGCGTCGCTGACACCGTCGTAGGATAAGTATGTGGCGTCGCTGACACCTTCGTAGGAGAGGTATGTGGCGTCGCTGACACCTTCGTAGGAGAAGTATGTGGCGTCGCTGACACCGTCGTAGAGGAAATATGCCGCGTCGCTGACACAGGCGTAGGAGAGGTATGTGGCGTCGCTGACACCTTCGTAGGAGAATTATGTGGCGTCGCTGACACCGTCGTAGAGGAAATATGCCGCGTCGCTGACACAGGCGTAGGAGAAGTAGCTGTCGTCGCTGCTGAGGGTGGGAAAGAAGATGGAGTTGCTGGCGTCGCTGACGCTGGCGTTGGAGCTGGCAGGGATGTAGGCGTAGTAGGCCTAGTCGCTGGCGTCGCTGACGCTGGCGTTGGTGCTGGCGTCGCTGACGCTGGCGTAGATGCTGGCGCTGAGCAACAGCGCGAGGAGGCCGCTGGGCCTCGATTCCAATATGGAGTGCGACGTCGCAGACGTCGTCTTGAGTATACGGCCCCGCGGGCCGGGATAGCGAGCCTCGCTCCAAGCTGCCACTGTGATATGGATATCGCTGATATCGTTTGTCGAATGATCGCGCGGCGAGCACTCTGCGTAGCTCTAAGGCCAAGGGCCCTAGTTTGAAACAAAATGGCGGCGACAAGGCGGGCGTGAGAGATAGAGCGGGGAAGCTGGGAAGGAGCAGGAAAGGCACGGGGAGTGAGCGGGAATCACAGGGGGAACATCTTTCGAGTCGCGCATCTTTGGTTTGGAAATGCTTCTGCGCCCTTGGCTTGAATGTTGGCGTATCTCGCTCGGGCAGGCTGCAACTCGCCGACGCCGAGCCGATTGCTTGTCTTCTCGGGGCTAGGGCTCGTCATTCTGTTGGGGGGCGCGTGGCAGGAACGGTTGCGCCCCCGCGCGACGCGTGGGCGTTCACAGGTCTGCGGGGTCCAGGGGCTTGATGCTTTGGGGATAACTTCGCTAGCTCCCATGGGTCTGAAAAAAGTTGTCCGCACACCGTTGGGGGCACATCAGCTCGGGGGGGAGTTCAGACAATTTGGGAGGTCCCCATTTCGGCGGCTTTCCCCTGGAAGGTTGCTGCGCGGGTTGATCTCCCCCCGTTGGATCAGCATGATCGTTCATGTTATTAGTTCTTCGCCTGTGCGGTAACTGTTTCAAAGTTCGGCGGACGAGTCCTTTGGCCCAATGTGTCTGTCAGTTGTTCGCAACGCGCGCGCCAATGCATTGTTTCTTGGATGAAGCGATCTCGCATTGCCTGATTTCGGCAGCAATATTGATGGAGTGGTTTTGCCCTCGTAGCGTAAAGCAATATCATCCGCGGTGGGCGACAAGCAATCCTGGACAAAGATAGGGGTAATAATCTCACTGCGCAGAGGGGGCCCCTGAAGGTCAGAAAGAGGATGATGGTGCTGATGAGGATGGAGCTCGGGAGGGATGAGGATGAGGATGATGATGAGCGTGAAGGCCAGGATAAGGATGACGATGATGCTGGTGGTGGTGGTGATGATGATGACGGTGCTGGCGATGACGACGATGACGAGGACTATGATGATGCTGCTGTTCATGATGATGATGCTGATGACGACGAGTACGATGATGATGATGATGATGATGATGTATGCTGACGATGAGGATGCTCCTGCTGAGGATGATTCTGATGATGCTGATGGGGATGACGATGATGGTGTTGTTGATGTTGATGATGATGATTATGATGACGATGCTTGTGCTGACGACGAGGATGACGATACTGATGATGATGAAGATGGTGGTAATGACGACGACGATGATTGAAGATGATGCTGATGACGATGATGATGCTGATGACGATGATGATGCTGCTGATGATGTTGATGAATATCATCACTATGATGATGAAGATGATCATGATAATGGTGATGATGATGATGACGATGATGATGATGATCATAGTTATGAAGATGACGATGATGACGATTACGGTAATGCTCATGATGATTGTGATGCTGATTATGAGGATGCTGATGAGGATGGTGAAGATGGTGGTGATGACGACGATGATGACGATGTCGATGCCGATGACGATTACGATGATGATGACGATGATGATGATGATGATGCCGACGATGCTGATGATGATGACGACGACGATGATGCCGATGATGATGATGATGATGACGACGACGATGATGATGATGCTGATGATGACGATGATGATGATGATGATGATGCTGATGATGATGATGATGATGATGATGATGATGATGATGATGATGATGATGATGATGATGATGATGATTATGGTGATGGTGATGATGTTGATGATGATTCAGAAGGAGGATTCTGATGATGATGATGGTAGGACAAGGAGGAGATGAAGGAGGAGGAAGAAGAGGAGGAGAAGGAGCTTAGCCTTCTCGCTCTCTCTCGGGCGCCTGCCTGCCGGCACTCGCCCCGCGCGCCGCCCACGAGGCGTTTCGTTTCGGCAACCTGACCATGGAGTCCGACAAGTGCTCCCCCCATCCTCCTCCTCCTCCTCCTCCTCCTCCTCCTCTTCCTCCCCCTCCCCTCCTCTTCCTTGCTTCCTTCCCCCCCCCCTGTCTCCCGCTCTCTCTCTCTCTCTCCCTCTCTCCTGCCCCCCCTCTCACTCCCTTCAAGAAGGCCAGGTGGGGGAGCGCAAGAGGACCGGAAAAGGCTCCAAGAAGGCACTGGGAAGGTTCGATAATGCGCCGAGACGACTGTAGACGACCCGAAGAAGGCGCCTAGATGGCACAAGAGGTGGTCAGGACGAAATGATTTTGTGCTCTCGTCTGGTGGATCTTTCTGCACGGTGGTTGCTATTGTTTTGTGCACTCGTCTGGTGGGTCTTTTTCTGTTTGGCGTGTACTACGGAAGAATGCGCGCTACAATCAGCCACGACTTGTTGCACTCCTCGTGGGTTTCCTGCTGTATGCTCATTGCTATGGGAGGAGTCAACATGCCAGCAACAGCTCCAATTTAGTGCACTTGTCTGGTGTTTCGTCTTCGGTATTTTTTCATTCCTTGGGGAGTATGGACGCAATTTGTTGCACATCCCTGGTGGGTATTTTCATGCTTCATTTTGGACGCGGACAGCCACGACCTGTTGCAAGTGACGATGCCTCGACTGTGACGGGAATGGTGCGCGCCAGGAGGCGCGTCATGATGAAGACTGATACGATTTGCTGTGCTCGTCTGGCTGCTTCCTTCTGTATGGTGGTTGTTACGGGAATGGAGAGGTAAAACAGCAGCCACCAGTTGGTTGTTCTCTTCTGGCTGGTGGTCTCCTGCATGGTTTGCTGCGGGGGTGGGCACTCCATAACCAGTGCTTATTTGGTGTTTTTTGCTGATGCAATCGTCTGCTGGGTCTTCTATTGCAGGCTCCTGTTATGGGAATGGGCACACCATAATGTTTGCATCGTGATTGCTAAGGGACTGGGCACGCCCAAAGCAGCCACGTTTTCTTGCGCTTGTCCGCGGTGTCCCCTTGAGTGCGGAGATTTGCTGCGGGAGGGTGCACACTGTGAACAGCTACGAGTTGTTGCACTCGTCTAGTGGGTCCTCTTCCGTATCGTGAGTTGCTTTAGGAACGGGTACGCCTAAACTTGTTGTTCTTGTTTGCTGTCGTCTGGTGGGTCTTCATATATATATATATATATGTACAAGACTGCATTGGCGCTGCGCGCCATGCACCTTGGTCCTTTGGAATTCGCACGCTAGCGGGGTGCGAGCGTGCGTACATGCGCACACATGCGTCTATGAATGCATAGTACATATGTACATATATGTATATATACACACGCGGTTGTATGGATATGTACATGTATATGCAAATGGTCAGTGTAACTATGTGTGCGCACGCACATGCGTATATCAAGCGGTAGTGGCCTGACCAGTTGCGCATATCATCGCGCCACTAAAAGGCGCGAGGGTCTCAGGCAAACGTGGTCAGACTACCATGGGACAGTGCGTCGCCGAGGTCAGTGTTGCGAGGACGTCCCGGGTGAAAATGGCCTGAACACCTCCGCTCAGGGGAGGACATATCCGGAGTCAGCCGTGCGAGGAAGTTTCAAGCGAGGAGTGGTCTGAACACCTCTGCTCAGGGCATCCTTGAACTTAGAGTTGCGAGAAGTCGCACGCGAAAGGGGCCGAACCACCATGGTGCAAGGCACCTCCGAAGTGAGACTTGCGAGAGTGTCTCAGGCGACAGTGGCTGGAACACCTCAACTGAGAGTGTCTCGGGCCCCAGAGCTGCGATGATGTCTCAAGCGAAAACGGCGGGACCGATGCGAAGCAAGGCGCTTCTGAGGTCGGAGTTGCGAGCATATCTCTGGCGACGACAAAGAGAAGGGATAATGAGAGGGGGAGACCGCTGTGTTGGGATCTCGTGGTGCGCCTCTCGGGGCCCTCTGGGAGGCAGTTTTGAAGCTTCTTGTGGGTGTTTTGGGGTTCTTGGCATCTTTTTGGGGCCTCTAGGGGGCCTCTTGGGGGCTCCTTGGGAGCCTCTTGGGAGCCTCTTGGGGCCTCATGGGGCTCTCTCCGGGCCTCTTGGGGCCCTCTCGCGGCGAAAAATTTAGTTTTTGAATTTGTGGGCGCCCTCTTGGGTCTCTCTTGGGGCCGTCTTGGTGCTCTCTTGGGCCGTCTTGGGCGCCTCTTGGGCGGTCTCGGAGCCCTCCTGGACCGTGTTGGGGCCTTCTTGGGGGCCTCTTGGGCAGTATTGGGGCGATCTGGGGAGCCTCTTGGGCCATTGTGGAGCGTCGGGAAGCGGGAAAAGCGAGAAGGCCAAAAACATAGAAAAACACACAGGAAAATCAACAATTGTAGCCTCTCGGGGCTCTCTTGGGAGGCCTCTTGGGGGTCTCTGGGGGCGTCTTGGATGCGTCTTGGGCAGTCTTGGGCCCAGATTGGGCGTCTTGGGCCGATCTTTGGGTGTCTCGGGGCCCTCTTTGGCCGTCGTGTTTTTTTTTTCGCGTCGCACTCGCAGGACAGACACGGAGCACTCTGCAGGAGCGCCCCAAAGGCTCGGGGAGGCCGAAATTCGTTTGGGGGGTGGGGGGTGGGCACCGTGTGCCGCTTTTCCGGGGTCCCCGGCCTTGTAAAAATATATAAATAGGAATATGGTGTCTGCTGCCGGAAAGGGTACGTCAACCACGACCAGACTTTATTGTTCTTCTTTGTTATGTCCTCTAATATATGATGGCTCACTGCGGGAAGGGACGCGCCCCTAATCGAGCAGTTTGTTGCGCTCGCCTGGTGGGTATCAATCGGCATCTTTCTGTATGTTGTCTGCTACGAGAGTTGGCAAACCAAAAACAACCACGCTTCGTTGCGCTCGTCTGCGTTGCTTGGACGTCCTGTGTTCTGATTGCTACGGGAACGCACGCGCCAAGGACAGCCACGATTTGTTGCAGTGTCTGTGTGTTGATTGCCACGGGAATGTGCGCTTTCTTGCCCCCCTTTCGGTCCTCCCTCTTGCCCCTGCATTCCTCTCGCTGTCTTCCCTGACTAGTCTCTGTCCTCTTTTGACCTTTGCGCTCTCGGCGACATCACGTGTGACGTTCCGAGCTTGCCCGGCGGTCTGTCTCACGTCGTGGAATCATTTGAGCGGTGGTTTTGACGAAACGCGCGCCAGGGACGGCGCGGAGGCGCCGCCATGCGGGTCCAGCGCCGATTCAAGAGAGCCGCTTAACCTCCAAACGTTTACAGGCAGGAGCATTTGCTTATCGTGTCCCGCCGCCGGTCCTGGCCCACCGCGCTTCGGCGCGATACGCCATCCGCGTCCCAGTCAGAGAGCACCAGCGCCCCGAGCTCTTCCCAGAGCGACTCGCTATCAGCCTGCACGGCAAGCCGCACGTCTTCCGCGCGCGCTCGCTCCCAGAACTCCAGCGTCGGGTCTCTTTCACGACGTCGACCCCCAGAGGTCTGGTCCCCTGCCCCGGGACCCGCTCTTCGCCCCGAGTCGTTCCCCGAAGGTCCCTGGTCCCGGGGAGGGCCCCCGGGAGGCCGCAGAAGGAACCAGCTCCTCATCGTGCTTTCTTTCGCGACCAGGGGAGGAAAGGATAGGGGAGGAAAGGGGAGGAAAGGATAGGACAGGGGACCAAAGGGAGGGAAAGGGGAGGAAAGGGGAGGAAAGGGGAGGATAGGGGAGGAGACGGGGAGGAAAGGGGAGGAGAGGAAAGGGGAGAAAAGGGGAGGAAAGGATAGGGGAGGAAAGGGGCGGAACGGAACTAGCTTCTCTTCGTGTTTTTTCCGCGACCAGGGGAGGAAAAGGACAGGACGGGGGGGGGTGGTCGGACGGTTGCCAAAAGGGCCGGCCGCAGGGAATTCGAGGGGCCGACCGCCGTGAATTTGAGGGGGGAGGAGGAGGAGGAGGGGGAGAAGAAGGAGGAGGAGGAGGAGGAGGAGGAGGAGTAGGAGGAGGAGGAGGAGGGGGAGAAGAAGGAGGAGGAGGGAGGAGGAGGAGGAGGAGGAGGAGGAGGAGGAGGAGGAGGAGGAGGAGGAGGAGGAGGAGGAGGAGGGGGAGGAGGAGGGGAGGCAGCTAGTGCGCTCGCGTCATATCTGACGTCCTACCCCTCCCTCCCATCCCTTACCATGGCGCTGATTTTCTCTATCCGCGGACGCGTGTCGTAGCGGACCTGTGGCTCCGCGCGCGCGCGTGCGTAGTGGGTGGTGGTGCACGTGCGTGCGTGCGTGCGTGTGTGCGTGGTTGTCGTGGTGGTGGTGGTGGTGGTGGTGGTGGTGGTGGTGGTGGTGGTGGTGGTGGTGGTGGTGGTGGTGGTGGTGGTGGTGGTGGTGGTGATGGTGGTGGTGGTGGTGCTGGTGGTACTGGTGCTGGTGCTGGTGGTGGTTGTGGTGGGTGGTGGTGGTGGTGGTGGTGCGGTGCGGCGGTGGTGGCGGGCGGATGGGCGCGCGAGAAAAAGGCCCGCGCTGGGGCGAGAACGCCATCCTGAACGACGGAGGCCAAACACCGATCCGAAAATGAGGCCCACGCTGCAGCGGGAGCACGATTCGGAACGATTCGGGAGCAGAAATGAGGCCGGCGCCTCAACGAGAGCAGCATTTTGGGAAAAAATGACGCCGGCGCCTCAGCGAGAGTCGTTTCCCGGGATTTCCCGGGCATCCTGTGTGTTAAAAAAACAGTACGCGGAGGGTGCGCGGCCATCACCCCGACGCCATCAGGGGAAGAGGGAGAGTATATTCATATTGAGTAATTGTGGAGGAGGAGGAGGAGGAGGAGGAGGAGGAGGAGGAGGAGGAGGAGGAGGAGAAGGGTTGGTGGTTCGCTACTTCAAGCGATGCGCGACGAGTTGGGCCCCTCCCTCCCTCTAGGGGGGTCCATGCTCCAGCCTTCTCCCTACGAGCATTGCTGCGCGAGTCCACCGCCTCCTTTCCACTTGCCTCCGCACGGTCGTCGCGCCGTGCTGTCGTTCCTTCCCTCCCCCTTCCTCCTGGGGCCGTAGGAATTTATCCCGCCCCCATTTTTTTATTTTTTTTTCTCATGCATGCCTCACTTGGACAAATCATAAGTTTGAGCACCCCTCCGAAGCGGCAACGGGGGAAGGAGGAAGGATGAGTGAGGAGGAGGAGGAGGAGGAGGAGGAGGAGGAGGAGGAGGAGGAGGAGGAGGAGGAGGAGGAGGAGGAGGAGGGGAGGGGGGGTAGTTGAAGGCCCCGCGCCCGGTCCTGCAGGTACATCAGCGTCAAGGACACGGCCGCCGACGGGGCGAGCCAGGCGGAGCTGCGTGGTCGATTTCCCGATCCCGCCCCCCCCCCTCCTCGTACCTGTGGTTCCGAGGAGGCGAATTCCGATTGTGATGGTGATGGTGATGCTGATGCTGATGCTGATGTTGGCGATGGCGCATGTGCAGCCCAGCGTACGGGAGTATGGCGGGGAAGCAGCGAATAACGCGACGGCTTCTCCGTAGCTGTATGGACTCAGAGTGGCTCAAAACGGCTGCGGGCGGCGCCCCTACTCATGCCGCGGCAGCTCTGCAGTAGAGGCTTGTCCTCCGACTCAGACCCGCGGCACCCGGAGGGTGCGCTGCCAGCTCGGCCCGAATGCCCAGGTCCTCCTTGCGGGGTGTTGGTCGCCCTGTCGGGCAGAAGGCGGACGCGCACGCGCGCGTCGGAGGGGGCAGCGAGCAAGCGTTGGCCGCGCTGCCCGAGCACAAGGGCCCCGCTGGGGCGCGGCGACACGGACTCGGCGAGGGGCTCCGCGGGAGCCTGAGATGGGCTCTGCGGGAGCCAGAGGGCGAGCAGTGCGGTGACCGAGGGCTCCCCCCCGTTGGTCGCCTGCTGCGGAGCGGCTGAGCGAGACCGCCCGCGGGGCGACGGGCGCCGAGGCCAGCGGCATCGGCGACCCTGGGCAGCGCGACCTTGCGCGGCGCTGGGCCGGCGACGCAGGGGCATGTTGCCCTCCGCCGTGCTCGGCGGCGGCTCAGGAGGAGGAGGAGGAGGAGGAGGAGGAGGAGGAGGAGGAGGAGGAGGAGGAGGAGGAGGAGGGCACGGGCTCCTCGAGCCGTGCCGTGGGGCCCCGCGACCAGCCGCGCGGCTCCGAGCGGCACCTGGGTGCCCACCCCGGCGGAGGCCAGTGCCGGGCGAGCAGTGCGGTGACCAAGGGGTGCCCTCTCCCGCGGTCGCCCACCTGCGCCACGCGACACCGCCCGCGGGGCGGTGGGCGCCCTGGCGCGCGGCTCCTCGCCGCATCGCCGGCTGCCCGGACGGCCTCGGCGAGCCGAGCCGCGGTGTCCGCCCCGGCGGGGTCGAGCACCGGAGTCCACCCCGGCCGGGGCGAGCACCGCGGTGGTGTCCAGCTTCGCGGCGTCGGGTGCTTCCACGGTGACCGCCAGCTCGGTACCGATGGCGACGTCGTATCGAGCTCTGCGGATGCGAGCAATGCCGCGCCTCGTGGGTACCCGGCATCGTCCGCGGACCTGCTCCCCGCTTCGGAGGAGGGTTGGTCGCTGGAGCGGCGGCGACTGGCCAGGCTCGCCGAGGACCTGTACCCCGTGCAGGAGGACCTGCGCTCCGAGGGTGGAGCGCTGTGGGGCCCTCCTGTCCCAAAATTTGCGCCTCCGTCTCATCATGATGTCTTTCATCTGCTTACTCATCATCACATCGTCGTCAGTATTTCCATCATCACCATCAACATCATCTGCATCATCACCGCTTTCGTTCTGGGGTGTCTCCAGCTTGTCTTGTGGCAGCTCCCACAACAAGATTTCAATTGTGGGGGATCTGCAGTGGCGGCACCATGAGACCAGGAAAGCTACAGAGGAACACGGGGTAAGAACATGACACACATGAAACAACTTTTTGGTTTCGCACAGGAAATTCGGAAACAGTTTGGAAAACCTGTGGCTGTCGCTACTTTTATAATGCAGGTCCCCCACACATTGAACATCATGTTGTAGCAGCCTTTTATAAAAGACCTTTTGTGGCAACGTTACAAGCATGTTTTCATGGTGGGGGATGTGCAATGGCCTCCACACTTAGAGTCCTTATTTAGCAGCCCGTACAACAGATATTCCTTGTGTGGCGGCCTCACAAGAGGGTTACAAGTGTGGGGAGATCTCTAGTGGCGGCACTGTGAGCCCAGGAAAGCTAGAGAGGAGAACAGGACAAACAGGAACAACTGGAACAAACTTGTGTTTTCATAAGGAACAACCGAAAAGAGGCTCGGATAACTTATGTCAATCGCTCGTCCAATGGTGCAGATCCACCACACGTATAGTCTTTTTGTAGTGGCCTTTGCAAGCGGATTCCTTTTGTGGCGACGTCACCACAAAACATGAAGTGTGGGAGATCTGCCATGTTTTCCACATTTATAATTCTTTTGTAGCAGCCTGTGCAACAAGGATTCCCTTGGTGGCGGCTCTACAAAGAAGGTTTTACTGGTGGGAGATCTGCAGTGGTGGCACAAGGAACCCAAGACATCTAGAGAGGGAAACAGGAAAGTCAGGAAAAGCAGCAGAAAGCCAGTGTTTTCATAAGGAAGTGTAGGAACAAGCAGCTAGGATCAATTGTGGTGCCGTCATTCTTATACTGCAGATCCACCACAATCCAGATACTTTGGTCGCAGCCTTTGCACCCGTTGTTTTTGCGTAGCGACGTTAACTCATGGTTTTAATTGCGGGGTGTGCGCAATGTCTTCCACACTGAGAACCCTTTGTAGCAGCCCGTCCGAAGGGATTTCTGATGTGGCGGCCTTACAAGAGGGTTCCAAGTGTGGGGGATCTGCAGTGGTGGCACCCTGACCCCGGGAAAGCTAGAGAGGAAAACAGGAAACCATCACATGAACAACGGACACAAACTTGTGTTTCCCTCAAGGAAAATACGACAAAGCTATGACAATATGTGATTGCTTTTGTTTTACATATATAACATATACTATATATGTCTATATTAACCACAATGAAAATAAACAATTTGGTAGCAGTCTTTAAACCAGTTTTCTTTATGTGGCGACGTTGCAAACAAACACAGTTAGAATTATTTTGTCTCAGCCTGTACACAAAGGTTCACCTTGTGGCGACCTAGCACAAGGAATTGCATTCGGATGGATCTGCGTGTTATACATAACGACGGTCACAGGTTTTCTTAATTTGTCTTTCCCGTGTGAAAAACAAGGTTGCTCGATGTTTTTGTGTTTTTCTTGTTTTTTTAAAAGCTTTCCTGGGCCCAAGGTGCCGCCACTGCAGATCCCCCACGCTTGAAACCTTTTTTTGTATGGCCGCCACAAAAAGGAATCCCTTTGTACAGGTCGCTACAGATCACTTTTTTTTTTTTTTGGGGGGGGGGTGACGTCGCCACAGCATTAATCTTTTTGTTAAAGCTGTTGCCAACCAGGGTTGTACTTGTGCTGGGGCTGCACTTAAGAATAACGACCGCCACTGGTTTGCCACAGGCTTTTTCAAGCTGTTCCTGTTCTGTTTAAACAGTCGTTTTCCTATCTAGCTTTCCTGGGTCCAGGGGCCGCCACTTCAGATCCCCCGCAATTCAAACCCACTTGTATAAATCCGCCACACAAGGAATCCTTTTGTGTAGGCGGCTACAACAGGATTATGAGTGTGGAGTCCATGGCAGATCTCCCATGGCAGGTCTTTGTGACGTCGCCACACAGAGGATCCTTTTTGTGAAGGCCGCTACGCAAGGATCTTTTTGGTGGGAGACCTGCATCATAGAAATACCGACAGTCAAAGGATTTCTTTGGTCTTTCTGAGAACGCATGCCTTTTCTTGTTCTCTTGTTTTTTTGTGGGTTTTCCTCACTAGTTTTCATGGGTTCATGGTGTCGCCACTGCAGATCCCCCACACTTGAAGCCTTCGTTTAAGGCCACCACAAAAGAAATCCCTTCGTACAGACTGCTGCAAAAAAGGGTTCTGAGTGTGGAAGACATTGCGCACATCCCGCAATTATTTTTCTTGTGTAGCGTCGCTACAGAAGGAATCCTGGTGTAAAGGCTGCTACTACAAAAGGTAAGGCTGCGGAAGCTTACCAGGAAAACAGAAAAAGCATGAGATAAACATTACACTGTTTGGTTTTCGCGTGGGAAAACAGGGGGAACTCGAGAAGCCTTGTGATGGTCGCCGTGTTTTATTGGCGGGACAAGTCAAAAAGGCTGGCAGTCACATTTTGTTTGTTTTTGTTTTGTCTCCCCTCTCGGCGATAGTCACATTTTTTGTTGTTGTTTTGTCTCCCCTCTCGGCGAAGACGCATGTCAAACATTTGTTTGTGTTTCCGGTAAGCCTTTTTGTGGCTTCGCGGCGCTGCCGCTGCAGATCTCGTGCGCTCGCGAAGTCCATTTTGCAAGGGGGCTCCACTCTGACTTCGTTTGTGGGGGTCTACAAAGTGAAGAACACAAGACAAGCAAAGTGGATCTACGAAGTGGAGAAATCAAGAAAAACAGTCCTCGCAGTTCGCAGACAAGGTGATTTTCATGTTGTAGGTTTTGTGCGCGAGGGAGGAGTGCCCCACAGCGTTCCTTTCTCCTGCGCTCCCTGAAGCATGGTCGGGGCCGCCGCGGCAACCGCTGCGGGGACTGAGGCCGCGGCTCATATCAGGCTTGCCTGCCCGTGCTGGCAAGGGGAGTGAGATCCAGCCGCGTGGGTCGCCGACCTGGGCCGTGCACAGGGTGGCAGGTGCGATGACTTCTTCCTGCTGCACTTCGCCTCTTGCTGTCGCAAGTTGCTCTGTAAAGGGGCCTGGGCGTTGCTGCCAAACGAAAATGCGCGGCTGCGGTCGGCGCGCCTTCCCCTGCGCTGGGCGCCCCTGGCGGCGCGGCGCGTTCGTTGCCGCTGGAAGGGGCCCGCGCAGTCCTGCTCGGCTTCGGGGGCAGGCCAGCGCGGCCTTACAGGAGCTGGTCGCGGATCAGTGTTTGGCGGAGGCTGTCGAGCGGTACGACGGCGTCCACCGCGGCGTCCTCGAGCGCCGCGCGCCGGTGTCCAGAGCTCTGCGCAGCCGACCAGTATCATTGCGTTCATCGTGGCGTGCTCAGGGGTTACGTCGGCACCCGGCACCGCGGAGTCAAGCAGTGCCACCGTGCGCACCGCGTCGGTATCGAGCTCTTCGGTATCGAGCTGTACCACGGTGTCCACCACGGCCTGCTCGAGGGTTGCGTCAGTACCCAGTTGTACGGGGTCGGGAAGTACAACCGCGACGTGTTCGAGCACCGCGTCGGTATCCAGCTCCACGCAACCGAGCAGCACCCACCATGGTGTCAGCCACTACGTGCCCGAGGACTACGTCGGTAACTATCCAGCCCCAGGGAGTTGAGCAGCACGCGTGCTCGGGCACCGCGGCGGTGCCCAGATCTTCGGAATCGAGCGTTCTCATGGTGTCCACCCCTACGTGCCTGAGGGTTACGTCAGTATTCAGCCCTACGGAGTCGAGAGTACCATGGTGTCCACCGCGACGTGGTGGTTCATCATGTCGGTAACCAGCTCAACGGGATTGTAAGTATTATGGCGCCAACAACGACGTGCTCCAGGACAGCGTCGGTATCCAGTTCCACGGACTCGAACGCACCGCGTTGTCCACCGCGACGCGCTCGACCACCGCGTCGGCATCCAGTTCCGCGGGTCGAGCAGCACCGCGGTGCCCACCAGGGCGTGTACAAGGGTCACATTGGAATCCAGCCCTATGGAGTCGAGGAGTGTCGCGGTGTCCACCACGATATGCTTGAGCACCGTGTCGGTATCGAGCTCTGCCGAGTGGAGCAGCATTGTAGTGACCGGCGCGACGTGCCCGAGGATCACGTCGGTATCCAGCTCTACGGAGCCGAGCAGTACCTCGGTGCCCGTTGTGACGTGATCGGACACCTCGTTGGCGTCGGGCTCTACGGCGTCTAGCAGTACCGCGGTTGCTGCCACGGCGTGCTCGACGGTAACGTCGGGGTCGGCCGAACGGCGTCGAGCGGTACCACGGTGTCGGTCGCGACGTGCTCGAGCGCCGCGTCGGTATCCAGCACCGCGGAACCGAGCAGTGCCAGGGTGTCCACCACCGCGTGCCCGAGGTGTACGTCGAAGTCCAGTTCTACGGAGTCGGGTGGTACCACGGCGTTCACCGCAACGTGTTCGTGCACCGCGTCGGCATCTAGCTCTGTGGACTCGAGCAGTGCCGCGGTGCCCTCTGCGTCGTGCTCAAGCACCGCGTCGGTGCCCAGCTCTACAGGATTGAGCAGTACTGCGGTGTCCACCACGACGTGCTCTGGGATTGCGTCGGTATCTGGCTCTACGGAGTCGAAAATCACCGCGGTGCCTACCCTGGCTGGCCCGAGCACCGCGGCGAGAGCCGGTTTGAGGAATTGCGTCGACATCGACTTCTGCGCAGACGAGCAGCACACCGGTGTTTGCCGCGACGTGCCCGAGCACCGCGGTGATACCCAGTTCTACGAGGTCGAGCAGAACCACGGTGTCACGCGCGACGTGCTCGAGGGATACGTCGGTGTCCCGCTCTCTGGAGGCGAGCGGCGTCACGATGTCCACCGCGGCGTGCTCGAGCCCCGCATCGGAATCCAGCTCTACGGGGTCACGGTCGAGCAGCGCCGCGGAGGTCGCACCCTGGTGCACCTGGGCACCACCCCGGTGTCCAATTCAGCGGTGTCCTTCAGTGCCACTGTGGTACCACGACGTATCCGATCAGCGCGTCGGCATCCAACTCCGCGGAGCGGAGCTGTACCACGGTGTCTACCACAGCGTGCTTGAGCATTGCGCCTGTATCGAGTTCGTCGGAGTCGAGCATCACCGCGGTGTCCACCTCGACGCACTCGAGTTCCACGGCGATATTCAGCTCTGCAGAGTCGTGCTGCGCCGCGGTGTCCCCCGCGACGTCTACGAGCACCCCGTCGATCTCATCTCTATGGGGTCGGTCAGCGCCAGCGTGCCCAAAATGGCGCGCTCGAGGGCCACGGCGGCATTCAGCTCTACGGGGCTGGAGCGAGCCAGGGTGTTCACCGCGACGCGTTCGAGCACCTCGTCGTTATCCAGCTCTGCAGTGATGGGCAGTGGCCGCGGTGCTCGCCGCGACGTACTCAAACGCCGCGTCGGTGCCTAGCCCTTCTGAGCCGAGCTGCACTGCTATGTCCACCGCGACTTGCTCGAGCACCGCGTCGATTCCAGCTCCGCGGAGTCGGGCGCCGCCGCGGCGTCCACCGCGACGCGCTCGAGCTCCGCGTCGGTGCCCATTCCTTTGGCGTCGAGCCTCAATGCGGCGTCCACCGCGACGTCTGCGAGCGCGATGTCGGTGCCCCGCTCTGTGGAGTCGCGCGCCACCAGGGCGTGCGCCGTCGGCGCCCGGCTCGATGGCGCCTGCTGCAGCTCTCGCAACGGCGTCACCCGCGGCGTCGACGGCCGCGCACATTGCATCGCCTCCGACGGCGCTGCGTAGGTATGGTCCGCCGGACCTGTCGAAGTTGCGCGTGCCAGAGTGCCGCGGCGGCCGCGTCAGCTGCGCCGCGCGCGCGCCCAGTGGGCAGGAGGTGCTGAGAACGGCGCGCGCCGCAGCAGGGAGCGAAGCCCGCCGTGGCCCCGACGGCGGCGTCGTCGACGGCGCGGACTGCGGCGCCGACGACGGCGCCCAGTGGCGCGCCGACGTCGGCGCTGACCCCCGCGCGCGCGGCGGGGTCCATGGCTCCGACGGCGCCGCCGGCAGCGCCCGCGGCGACGCCCGCTGCGGCGCTGACCGCGGCGCCGACGATGGCGCCGAGCAGGGCGCCATGCTGCCGACCGCTGGCTCCGACGACGGCGCCTGCTGCAGCCCCGGCAGCGGCGTCCACGGCGACGATGCTGCGAGTATCCGGCCCGGCAGCGCGCAGCGGGCCCCGCGGGTGCTCGAGGCGCACGGCGATTGCGGCCGCGGGCTTCGCCGGGGCATTCGTGGGCGGGCCTGCGGTCCGTGGGCCGCGGCTCGTCGGAGGGCCAGTCGGTGGCGGCTCGCGGTCGCGCCGGTGGGCTCCGCGCGGATGCGGGGCCGTGCCGCGGCGTGCCTCGGCGAGGACGCTTGGCCGTGCCGTGGTCTCGCTTGGGGGCCAAGCTGTTGCGTGGGGGCATGGTCGACGCTGCTGGGGTGAGGCCCCTGGGCAGGGCCAGCGACGGTGCCCGCTGCAGCAGCAGCTGCGGAGTCGACCGCGGCGCCGACGGCGGCGCCCACAGCAGCGCCGACGGCGCCCGCCCGCGGCAGCCCCGACGGCACCGACTTCATCACCTGGTGCGCCACGGGTCACGGCGCCGAGCCGCGGCACCGACGGTCGCTCGTTCGATCGCTGAGGCCGCTCGGCAGGCCGTCGGCCTCCCTCCTGTAGGCACCTCTGCCTTTCAATCACACCGTGCTCCGAGGTAAGGATCTGGGATTTTCTTGAGGACGCTCCGCCTCCTCCTCCTCCTCCTCCTCCTCCTTCTCTTCCTTCACCTCCTCCTCCTCCTCCTCCAACTCATCTCCCCCTCCTCCTCCTCCTCCTCCTCCTCCTCGTCCTCCTGCTCCTCTTCCTCCTTCTCCTTATCCTCCTGCTCCTCCTGCTCCTCCTCCTCCTCCTCCTCCTCCTCCTCCTCCTCCTCCTCCTCCCCCTCCTCGCCAAAAGAACTTCGCCAGTTTCATATGCAGAGAGGACCCCTTGCGGCCACCGTCCGCCCCCCCTGTTCCCCCCTCCACCCCCTCTCTCTGTGGGAGAATCGGGCGGGAGGTTTCTGGCCGTTTGCGGCCTGCGAGGCGCCGTGAGAAGGGGGAGGAGGAGGAGGAGGAGAAGGAGGAGGAGGAGGAGGAGGAGGAGGAGGAGGAGGCGGAGGAGGAGGAGGAGGAGGCGGAGGAGGAGGAGGCGGAGGAGGAGGAGGAGGAGGAAGAGGAGGAGGAGGAGGAGGCGGAGGAGGAGGAGGAGGCCCCGAGGCAGCCGAAAACGGGCCCGTGGAGGGAATCCAGGGGTCCACGTGCTGACCGCCTCCTCCCCCTTCGCTTCCTGCAGCCTCTGACCCGCCCTGCGGTCTCTGCCCCCTGCCTTCTTTCGCTGCCGCTCCTCTGCAGCGGGCGCTCGGCGGGGCGATGCGCTGACCCAGGTGGTGACCGTGGACATGCACAACAACAACGCCGTCAACAAACGCCCGATGAAGGCGGAGGCCACCCTGATGAACCCGACTGACAACATCATCGCCCTGAGAGGTGGGTGGTGGTGGCTGTGGTTGGAGCAGGGGGGAGGGACGGCTCAGAAGTCCGACGCCGTGTGTTTTCACAACGTGGGCCCCCCGAGGCCGGGACCCTTTTCCTTAGACCAGCCTCTCATGCCGAGTGATGTTTGACTGTCCTGGGGCCCGGCAAGGGCCCCCCGGAGGCCGAGGACAGCCAAAACCGTCCGTCGTGATCCTTGCGCGACGAGAGGAGGTGGGGGGAGCAGGGAGGGGGGGACAGTGGTCAAAGAGGGCCGCAGTGCGTGTGAGAGTGCCCAAATCATCCTGGCGAGGCGAAGTAGAATGAACAGGTAGCTGAGAGAGCCTCTTCTCATAGTTTTGATCCCCGTGCAACTGTGTGGTGCTTCAGGAGGGGCCTCGCCCTCGACTCGTCGAAGGAGTTGGCGTCTCCTCGCCGGCGGAGCGCGGCGGCGGAAAGGCAACGGGGGCAGCTCCGCCAGCGGAAGCCCGGCGGAAGGCTGGCGGAAACTGGCGGAAGCACCCCCCCCCCCTTCCTCCTCCTCCTCCTCCTCCTCCTCCTCCTCCTCCTCCTCCTCCTCCTCGTCCTCCTTCTCCTTCTCCTGCTCCTCCTCATCCTCTTGCTCCTCCTCCTCCTCCTCGTCGTCGTCGTCCTCCTCCTCCTCCTCCTCCTCGTCCTCCTCCTCCTCCCCCCCCAAACCCATGACTCTCGTGTAGTGTTCACAGGATCCAGGGCCCGTCATGTTTTCGCTTGGCGCTGTGCTACCCCCAGCCACCTTGCCGGGACGGGCTGAGACGACCACCTCTGCGCATCGAGATTTAACACTTAGGATGAAGGGTCGTCCGTCCTAGCCATGAGCCTTCACCATGCGAGGCCAGCCAGTTTCAGCCAGCCCCGTCATCCCTGTCGAGTCGCACCATGCAGCATGACTCACTCGTTCCTCTCATACGCCAGTTGCTGCTTCTCGCCATATGTGTGATGCATCGCTCGGCCACCCGCTTTGGGCTCCTTCCGCCGTCTGTGTGAGATCGCACAGTGTGGGGCCCCGCGAACTCTTCCAATATGGGACGTTTGGCTCAAGTCGGGCCTGTCCCTCTTCAGGAGGAATATCCAAAAATAGTAAAGAAATAATGCGGGGCCGACTTTTTTGATTGTATTGACCCTCTGTAGCATGTATGTCTGTCTGTCTGTCTGTCTGTCTGTCTGTCTGTCTGTCTGTCTGTATGTATGTATGTATGTATGTATGTATGTATGTATGTGTATGCATGCATGCATGCATGCATGTATGTCTATATATATACATGTATGCATGCATGCATGCATGCATGCATGCATGCATGTATGTCTATATATACATGTATTATCCTCCTCCTCTATTTTTATACGCCTGGGCGGGGGGACCCCCCCCCAAAAAAAATCTGACTCTCGGGATCTGGGGCTTTGGGACCCTCCGGACGGGCCTCGAAGCGGCCCCCTGTGCCTCGCAGGGTGTTTTGCCCAGCCTTCCCAGCACACCTAGGGCGATCAGGGGTGTCATCGGAGACGTCCCAGAGACCCCCAAGACAGCACAAGAGCGCTCCACGAGTGACCGACGTGACCTCAAGATGGTCCAAGAGGCCTCCAAGAGCACTCCCAAGAAGGCCCCAAGAGGCACACATCACGGATTTTCCATGGGTTTTTGGTGAAATTTGGGGTTCTCCTCTTTTCGGCTTCCCGACGCTCCAAGACGGCGGTCTTCTGGGCGTCCGAAGCCGCCTGGGAGGCTCCAAAATTGCCCCACAACCATCCGAAAGGGCTTCCAGGCAGTCCAAGAGAGCCCCAAAACGGCACAACACGGGTCCAAGATGGCCCTCAGAGAGCCCCGTGGCGGCCCAAGATGGCCCCAAGACACCCTCCGAAGCATTCCATATCGTGACCCGGTCGTTCAGGGAGACCGCGGTTGGAGGCAGGGTGGTCCGAGGAAGCCCCCAGAGGCCCTCAGAATACGCCCAGGAGGCCTCCAGAAGGCCTTGAGAAAGCCTGAAACAATTTTTGTGAGGCCCCCAGAGGCTCTCCAAGGAGGAACCTCCGCAAAAAAAGAGCTGAGGAAGATGGGGAGAATGCGCAGGGTATGGCGAAAATGAGGAAAAAGAAGCATGGAGGAATGATAACGAGTAACATTATTATAGCGGCGATGCCGGAAAAGGCAACAATGAGTCATCGCTAAAGTGTCGGCTTGACCTGACCTTCCTGCTATTCCGCCTGCATACCAAGCTTCAAAGACCAAGGTGCATGGCGCGACACGCCACTGCAGTCTTGTGTATACATATTCGTTATTTATATACTTATTCATTCATTTATTTTTATATTTATACACATGTATATAACGCATTTGTTGTCCAAAATCCCTCTGTAGGGGGACATGTCCGACTTAGCGCTTGGCATCGCCCTGCATGGCTCTCTGCACCGCGAGGCCCTTCGCCGATCCCCCCCTCGCCCGTGCCCGGCGGGGAGTCGCACTGGCCTTGAGTCGGGCGTGTCCCTCCCAGATCCCCCCACAATCATCCAGAACCCTCCTCCTCCTCCTCCTCCTCCTCCTCCTCCTCCTCCTCCTCCTCCTCCTCCTCCTCCTCCTCCTCCTCCTCCCCCTCCCCTCCTCCCCCCCCCTCCCCCTCCTCCTCCTACTCCTCCACCTCCTTCTCCTCCTCCTCCTCCTCCTCCTCCTCCTCCTCCCCCTAAACGGAGCTGCTGCTTTTCTCTTTCCTGTCCTGGACTCGGTCCATCGGGCCTTTTTCCCCAAGGGGCTCGTCGCCAAATCCTGGGTCGACGATGTGAACTTCCGTCAGGAGGGGCCCCGCAGGGCCGTTGTCAAATCCCTCACGGATGCGGCCATACAGTTTTCTGCGGGTGTCTCGGCCGACGGTCTTCAACTCTTGGACAAGTCGGCTGTTATAGCCTCCGACAGTGTCCTCGCAGCAGAGCTCACCTCGGCTTTAAGACAAGCTGGCCTCCAAGTAAAGAATCTCGGAGCTGCTGCGGACCTCGGCATCGAGAGAGGCCACCGTCGTTTGCACCAGGCCTCCAAGCATCGCGCGAGGAAAAAGTTGGCTTCATGGCAGGCTCGGAAGTTGAATAATATTGCTCGCGGCACGCCAGGATTCCGTGCCGCTCGCCGAAGTACCACCACTGGCATCATCCCTAGGATTGGCTATCGCACCAAGGTCATTCCCCTCTCCCCTGAGCCCCTCCTCCAGCTCCGCAGGTCCCTCGGTCGCTTCGCCACCTCGAAAGCTCGAGGTAGATGTCTTACCACAGCGTTGCACATTGACTACGGGGACCAGGACCTCGCTATCTCTCTGCCCACTGCTACCATCAGCTTGTGGTTTGAAATGCTCGCCTCGTCAGAAGCTTTCAGGAAGAGAGCGGCCAGAGCGTGGCCGATTATTTTGAAGAATTTGCTCGCCACCCCTCAGAACCGCCAGTGGAGGAAGATGAACGGCCTGATCTCGGGCACGATTTCGGTTTTGCTGTCCGCGGGCTGGGACCCCCAGGGACCGTGGAAGTGGACCCACCCCACAGGCGATAAGTATGAGGTGAGTGAAGGTATTTTCGACTCGGACCCTGACTGGGAGCCTTTCTTGGAGGTCTTCAGAGACACCTTGAGGCTCTCCGTCTGGGCCCACGCTGCCAAACATTATAATGGGGGGGCCTTGAGCAGGGCGTTGAAACCACGGATATTTTAAAAATGATGCGTGCGTTGGCTAAGAAGGGAGCCAACAAGTTTCGAGGTGCCCTCAGCACGGTCATGCCGGCGGGTTTCTGGCCCAAAGCTTGGCTCTCCCAGGCGGGGGTGAAGGTCGACTCCATCTGGTGTCCCCGTTGTGAGGTTAAGCCTGAGACCGACCTTCACCGCTGCTGGACCTGTATTGCCAATAATGATATCCCCCGCTGTGCCGACACACAGCATTTAAAAGACCAGGCAATTCAAGGTGTTCAGTCGCATCCATGCTATTGGCTCCGAGGCCTTATCCCTAGAGAGTGGACGGCCATCCCAGAGCCACCAGACGAATTGCAGGTTCAACTAGACCCGCGGATCGACGCGCCGAGCTTCCCTGTGCCAGGCGCGGCCCCGCACAACCTGCTTGGTGCCCTTCGGGAGGACGGGGGGGTTTGGCTGAGCGGGGATGCGTCGGGGGGAAAGCACTCTAGCCACTCTAAGCTGCGTCGTCTCACCTGGTCGGTTGTCGCTGTTGCTTGTGGGGCCGATCCCAGGGAGGCGCCTCTGCCTTTATGTGCTTCTGGAGCTTTTGGTGGGGCCCTCCCTGGCCCTCGTCAAGGAATCAACAGGGGCGAGTTGTTTGCACTCAAAGAGGCCCTTTTGGCCACCCCAGGTAGAGATTTGACATATGTCACCGACAGCGCCTATGTCCAGCGAGGCGCGTTCCGTCTGTGCTCGAAGGCCCGATGGAGGCCTAAGACGAATCGGAACCTCTGGCACCTCGTCCGAGAGCTCTGGGGGTCCCGTGACGTCCTCATCGTGAAGGTCGCTAGCCACGCGGCCAGGTCCGAGTTCGATCGAGCGTCAGACGATTTTAAGGCTTTGTTTCAATTCAATGAGCTGGCTGACGGGCTGGCCGAGAGGCTCTCACCAGCCGCGCAGGTCCCGAGTGCAGCAGCTGATTCCCTCTTGGAGCTCGAGACGGAGGCCAAGGCCATCCGCGGCCGTTTGGCAGGTATCTTGGCTACGATGCCGTCTTTCCGCCCAGAGGGAGAGTCATCCAGAGCTGCCGCCCAGGGACTGATCAGCAAGAAATTTGATTTGCCTGCGGAGTTATCCTGCGCGGCCCACCTTTTGGAGAGCTCCAGGGTCAATGGTCGTCTGCGTCGGCAGTGGCGATGTCGTACGTGTTCCTCGGAGCCTCCATTTAGGGGTAAGGGTTCTGTAAGTAAGTGGCTCCGCACCCCTTGCAACCCCTCGCTCATTGTTGGCCCCGCATCGAGTGCCCCGCGGGAGGTGGGGCCTTGTAGGAGAGGCCTCTCTGTGCATCCCTCTCACACTATGCGGTGGTGGGAGGTTGGGGCGGGGACGTTGAAGGAACGGATTTTCGCTTGCTCGAGGTGCGGTGGGCTCGGAACCGACCGCTACCGCGCCACAGGCAAGCTCATGTCGGAATGCCCGGCCCCCACACGTACGGGCTCGGAATATCTCAGGGCGCTCGAGAAAGGTCGAGCTCCAGGCCACGCGAAGTTGGCCAAGCAGATCAATGTCCTGAGATAGATTGGAGTGAGCGCGCAGCGCAGAGTCTAATCTAATATAATCTCCTCCTCCTTCTCCTCCTCCTCCTCCTTCCCCTCCTCCTCCTCTCCTCCTCCTCTCCTCCTCCTCCTCCTCCCTCCTCCTCCTCCTCTCCTCCTCCTCCTCCTCCCTCCGCCTCCTCCTCCTCCTCCTCATCCATCCTCCTTCCCCCTCCACTCCTCCTCCTCCCTCCTTCCTCTTCCCCTCCCCTCCTCTTCCCCTCCTCCTCCTCCTCCTTTTTTCCTCCTTCCTCCTCCTCCTCCTCTCCTCCTCCTCCTCCTCCTCCTCCTCCTCCTCCTCCTCTCGGAATCCCTTTAGCCCCTCTGAATCCCTCAGGACACCTGGGCATCCTCCAGGATCGGTCATAATCCTTCCGAGCCCTGCAGGTTCCCTCGAGATCCCTCGGAATGAATCAGACCCCAACAGAATCCATCGGGATCCTTCAGAAGCCTCTACAGGAGGAATGTTCAAAAATAGTCCCAAAATGCTCCGGGGCCGATTTGTTGGATTTTTTGGCAACACGTTTGGACTATTTTCTGTATCTTTCGTCCGAAATCCGTCCGTAGGGGGGCATGCCCGACCGAACATTGGCCCGATCGCGAGTGATCCCCACGTGCCGCGCGCAGCCGACGCGTGCAGCAACCGACGACGACAGCAACGTCGGCGGAGTCGGGCAGGCTGTAGAGCGTGGGCGGGCGCGCGCGTCGGGCCCGGCTCAGCGGCAGCAGGGCGTGCAGGGTTCACCCGCAGGGGATCGCGCCGCACGGCCCGCCAGGGGGTAGCCGCGCGAAGGGGGGACTGGTGTCGGCGTCGCCCCAACATAGTTATACTATACGTGCGGACCGCTCGCGAAACGGTGCACTACAAGATGGGTGTACTATATGTTCGGGTTGGACGCGCGCCCCCAAGGAGGAGACATAGCATTAGTATGTCTCTGTGCGCCCCATGGTAGGCCGGACGCGGGAGCGGGGGTGGAGCGGCACAAGTACGGAGAGGGGTCGACGAGGCAGTGCTCGGGGGTGCTCGCGCACACGCACACACGAGGCTGAAGTGGCATCGAGAGCGCCAGACGCGCCCGCGGCGTACACGCGCGGTCCCTGCTGCGGCAGGCAGCGCTACGCCTGTAGCTGCTTGCGAAGCATGCGACATCTAACAACCTTGCCCTCCCCGGGTTCGGAAGACAAGTTCCAGACGCCGCCCTGCGCTTGCCCAGACTCGCCCCGTGCACGTCACAGGAGCTATGGGAGTTTTTTTTTTTTTTTTTTTTTTTTTTTTTTTTTTTTCGCTGCTGGCAAGGGGGGTGGGGTGGACCCCTCCCCAAAAGCCAGGGGGGGAGGATCTGACTTCCCCCCCCCCCGGATATTCAGTGGGGGGGTCCAGAGCCCCCTCCCTCGGAAAATCATTGTGTGGGGGTGCACAACTCCCCCCCCCCTCTGCGACGACGACGACAGCGTCGACGACGATGCACGACGCACGACGCACGACGACGACGCCGATGCCGTCGCCGACGACGCCGACGCCGACGCCGACGCCGACGCCGACGACGACGACGACGCCGACAACGACGACGACGACGCCGACGCCGACGATGACGACGACGTCGAAGACGACGAAGACGACGACGAGCAGAGTAGAACAGGTGTAGAGTAGAGTCTGATAGTAGTAGAGTAGGGGTTAGAGTAGAGTCAGTCGGGTTGGATACGGTAGGGTAGGGTCGAGTAGAGAAGGGTACAGTACAGTAGAGTAGAGTAGGGAGGTGTATATCAGACTACAGTAGATCAGAGTTGAGTAGAGAAGAGTGAATGGATAGAGTAACGCAGACATAGGTTCGAGTAGAGCAGAGCTGAACAGTATTAGGAGTAGAGTCGAGTAGAGTAGAGTAGGGAAGCGCGCCAGTGGATCACCCTGAACATACAAAAGGGGGTGTGTGCTCGCAACCCCCCCACTCCCCCCTTTCAAAGGGGGGGTGAGATTTCCCCCCCCCCCCCCCCCCTCTCCTCACCCCCCCTCCCCCTATCCTCTCCCCCCCTCCCCCCTCTTGGCGCTGGAAAGGGGGGGGGGGGGGGGGGGGGTCGACCCCCCCCTTCCCCCTTTTGCGCCGCACAGGGGCCCGGGAGGGGGCCTCTCCTGCAAGGGGGGGTCTGGCCTCGAGACAGTGAGTAGTGAGTAGAGAGTAGAGAGTAGTGAGTAGTGAGTAGATAGTAGCGAGTAGTGAGGAGTGAGGAGTGAGTAGTGCGCAGCGAGTAGTGAGTAGTGAGTAGTGAGTAGTGCGTAGTAGTAGTGGGTAGTGGGAAGTGGGTAGTGAGTAGTGAGTAGCGGGCAGTGAGTAGTGAGTAGTGAGTAGTGAATAGCGGGCAGTGAGTCGCGAATGGGCATTGTGAGTAGTGAGTAGTGAGAAGGGAGTAGTCCGTAGTGACTAGCGAGTAGGGAGTAGCGAGTAGTGATTAGTGAGTAGTGAGTAGCGAGTAGGGAGTAGTGAGTAGTGAGTAGCGAGTTGTGATCAGGAAGATGTGGGTATTGAGTAGTGGGTAGTGGGTAGTGCGTAGGGAGTGGCGAGTAGTGAGTTGTGAGTAGTGAGTAGTGAGTCGTGAGTAGTGAGTAGTGAGTACTGCATAATGAGTAGTGAGTAGCGACTTGTGACTAGTGACTAGTGAGTACGGAGTAGGGAGTAGTGAGTAGTGAGTAGTGAGCAGTGCGTAGTGGGTACTGAATATCGCGTATTGGGTAGCGAGTAGAGAGTAAGGAGTAGCGAGTAGCGAGTAGTGCGTAGTGAGCAGTGGGTACTGTGTAGGGAGTCGGGAGTAGCGCGTAGCGAGCAGCTGACAGTGAGTAGTGAGTTGTGGGCAGTGAATTTGTGAGTAGTGACCTGCGCGTCCTCAATAATATATAGTGGATAGTGGTTAGTGTGTAGTGAGTAGTGCTTAGTGAGTAGTGAGTCGTGGGCAGTGAGTAGTGTTTAGTCAGTAGTGAATATTGAGTGCTGGGTAGTGAGTAGTGAGCTGTCAGTAGTGAGTTGGGAGTAGTGAGTAGGGAGTAGTGAGCAGTGGGAGCGTAGTGAGTGGTGGGTAGTGGGTAGTGAATAGTGCGTATTGGGTAGGGAGTAGGGTGTAGGGAGTAGGGACTAGTGAGTAGTGAGAAGTGGGTTCTGTCTAGAGAGTAGGGAGTAGCGAGTAGCGAGTAGTGGATAGTGAGTAGTGAATTGCGGGGAGTGAGTGGTGAATCGTGAAGTGTGAGTAGTGAACTGTGAGTATGCATAGTGGTTAGGGTTAGTAGGTATTCAGTCGTGATTTGTGATCAGAGAGTAGTGGGTAGTGATTTGTGTGATCTGTGTGTTGTGAACTAAGTTTTGAGAGTTTTGGTAGTGGGCAGTGAGTAACTAGTAGCGAGCAGTGAGTAGTGAGTAGTGAGTAGGGAGCAGGGAGTAGTGAGTAGTGGGTAGTGGTTAGTGAGCAGTGGGTATTGAGTAGTGAGTTGTGAGTAGTCAGTAGTGAGTAATGAGAAGTGAGGTGAGTAGTGAGTATCGAGTAGTGGGTCGTGGGTAGTGAGTAGGGCGTAAGGGATTAGGGTTAGGGTGAGGATTAGTGTTAGGGGTGGTAGGGGTCGGGTTCCGGAGCTCAGAGGAGACGTGGCGAAGGGGGGGGGGGATTTTGGCGGCCAAAGGGGGGAGGGGGGGCGGTTCGCCCCCCCCCCCCCCCCCCCCCCCACCCTCCTCCCCCCCCATTGAAAAAAGGGGGGGGGGAGGGCCCCGACGCCGCATGGGGAAAGGGCGGGATGGGGGGGGGCTCCCCGACGACGGATTGGGACTTCCTCAACGACGGATCGGGGAAAGGGGGGGGGGGTCCCCCCCCCCTTGGGGATATCCAGCGGAGTAGAGTATAGCAATGCAGAGCAAGAGCAAAGAAGAGTAGACTGGAGTATGCTAGGGCACGGTAGGGTAGATCGGGGTAGAGTAGAGTGGGGCAGAGTAAAGTAGAGTGGAGGAGAGTAGGTTAGAAAAGAAGTAGAGTCGAGTCAAATCGAGTAGAGTAGAGTAAGAGCAATTTGGAGTAGAGTGAGTACGTTAGGGTAGGGTAGGGTGGAGTAGAGTAGGGCCGAATAGAGTAGAGCAATTCTAATCGGGCAGAGAAGGGCAGCTGGGTATAATAGAGCATAATCAGAGTGGAGTAGAGCAGAGCCGAGTAGAGTATATATGAGTTGAGTCGGAGTAAAGTGGAGTACCGTAGGAGTAAGCAGAGTACAGTATAGTATTACAATCTGGTAGTCGAGGGTATCATAGAGTAGGGCAGAGTAGAGTAGAGTAGGGCAGAGAAGAGTGGAGTATATTAGAGAAGGAGTAGGGTAGAGGAAACAGAACATAACAAAGCGGAGCAGAGGTGACTATGTTAGTTTGCGGTTGAATCGAGTAGGGTAGGGTAGAGAAGGGCAGAGTAGAGTAGAGTAGAGTAGAGTAGAGTAGAGTAGAGTAGAGGTACGTAGAGTAGAAGAGAGTTGGGTGCACAAGCGGAGAGTACAGCAGGGCCCTGGTAGGATACTGAGAAAGCTGGGTCGGGCCGTCGTAGCATTCTACCAAAACCCGCGCCTGGCGCGGGCGCTGGCGATAGGTGCGCCGCCGCCGCCGCCGCCGCCGTCGTCGTCGTCGTGCCGTCGTCGTCGTCGTCGTCGTCGTCGTCGTCGTCGTCGGCGGCGGCGGCGGCGGCGGCGGCGGCGGCGTCGTCGTCGTCGTCGTCGTCGTCGTCGTCGTCGCTGGGGAGTGGGTTTTGGCCCCCACCCACTGATTTTCCGAGGGGGGGCGGGTTCTGCACCCCCACATTCATATTCCAGGGTGAGGGGGGAGTCCGGGGCTCTTTGTTAATTTTCTGGCGGGGGGGGAGTCCAGACCCCCTAGGTTCGTCCCGCGTTGGGGGGGGGGGGTAAGGGAGGGTGGGATTGGGGGGTGGGAGGAGGGGGGCCTCTGGTTTCTGACCCCCTTTGGGAGTTTTTAAGGGGGTTGGGGCAAGGGTCCCCCCTGGTTTCTGATCCTCCCTCAGAGAGAATGTTCAGGCCAGCGACGGTGAATCGCGCTCCCTCGGATCTGTCACGATGGGCAAGCGTGTAAATTGTGGGTGGGTGACTGGCGAGCGAGCGTCGGAGTTTCTGATTTCCTTGTCCCTCGCTCGCTTCTACTCTTTGATCGTGAACCTTGCGCCCGATCAGTCTCTGACCACGGGCCGTTGCGTCTCGACCCGCCGCCCGATGGCCGCTTAGGGCTCCTGCGGGTCCGCGTGGCTTCCCGTGGCTTCCCGCCCGCCGGTCTGGACTGGCGCACTCTTGCCTGGTGGCCTCCCGAGCCCCAATGGGCTCTCGTGGCTTCCACCGGCTTCCCCCTCCGGCGGCCCTGCGTGCCGCACATCCGAGCGGCCGCGGGCCCCTGCGAGGGCCCCCCCCCCTGCCCTCCAAGAGGCTCTTCCCGCCTTCGTGGTAGGCTCCTCCTCCCCCTCCTCCTCCTCCTCCTCCTCCTCCTCCACCTCCTCCTCCTCCTCCTGCTCCACCTCCTCCTCCTCCTCCTCCTCCTCCTCCTCCCCGCCCTCCCCGGCCTCGCGCCCCCTCCCTTCCCCCCCCGTGCGCGCCGCCCCGTGCGCGTCGCCCGTGGCCGTCTCGGCGCCAGGCCGCCCCGTGGCCGAGCAGAAGCCCCCACCCCGAGGCGGCGCGGCTCGAGTCCGCCGCCCCGTGGGCTGCCAGGCGGCCCTGCCGCGCCCTCGCTTCGGAGGCCTGGAGTAAGTCGGGCCTGTCCCCCTACAGGAGGACCTTCGACGAAACGTAACATATACACCCCAAAAATAGTCAAAGAATGCTTCAAACATAGTCTGGGGACTATTGTTTGACTATTTTTGTTGACCTTTTTGGGGCATTCTCGGGGTATTTTTATTTTTTTGTCGAAAATCCCCCTGTAGGGGGACACGCCCGACATAGGCCTGGAAGTGCCCTGAGATCCTGGCGATGCATTTTTTTTGGCGTCGGGCGTTTCCGCCCGATTTCGGGCCCCGGGACCCTCACAGATCGATCGGGCCCGAAAGGTGGCGCGGGAAGGTGAGGTCTGGGTCTCCGGGCGTGATTTTTGCGATGTGGCATTTTTTGTTGTTGCAACGTCGGATCTCAGGGTGGGCACCAACAACAACGCAGGGAGTTGCCTCCACAGGGGGAGGATGATCCCGGTTTCGGCGTCGGTCGCCCGGGGAGCCAGAATGGCACCGCCATCGCCGCGATCGGAGTCTTCTTCCCCTTTCGGAGGATGCACACCGCCGATAGTGGTGTTGGTGTCAACCCCTAGGTCTGTCATTATCGAAGCGGCCGCGCCAGCCCGCAGATCGAGGGAGGAAGCCCGCCGACCAGGACCAAGGTGTCGCGGAATCTCGTCGGCGCCGATCTGGGTCATCCTCCCACGCCGGCCGTCGCCGATGCGCGAGGACGATCCACGAATTGACGGTGGCCAGGGTGGACGATGGCCAGAGTCGGCACCGACGTTTCCGCGTTCAGTCTTGGGCATGGCCACCGTCTTCCTTCCCTCCGGTCGAGCAGGAGATGGAGATCGATGGCAGCTACCAGCTGCAGGACATCGTCGACCAGCTTTCGCGGCACGACGAGCTGCTGAACCTGGATCTCTCCGTCACCGTTTCGGACCCTCTGCAGCAGGACTGCCCGCTGATCGCGTGCAGCAACGGATTCACGGAGCTCACCGGCTACACCGTCGCCGAGATCGTGGGACGCAACTGCCGCTTCCTCCTCAACGGCGTGCCGGACGAGTACATCGACGAGGACACCCGGCTGCGGTGCCGCCATTACGTTGCTACCACGAAGGGCTCTCATCGGGATCCGACCCCCGACGAGACGATCACGGAGTACCTGAAGACGCAGCCCTGGATGACCGCACGCCCGGGCGAGATCATCTGCGTGCAGACCAATGCCACGAAGGCCGGCGAGCTGTTCAAGAACATGTTCTACATGAAGCAGGTCGAGCTCAACGACCGGCCCTTCATCCTGGGCCTGCAGGCCAAGCTGCCGGAGGCGTGGCAGGAGACCGTGGACCAGGCGCAGCTGGTCTCCTTCTGCGAGCAGGCTCAAGTCGGGCCTGTCCCTCCACAGGGGGAACCTTCGGAAGTAGCTCAAGCAACAGCCTGGGGACGATCCTTGGGACCAGTTTTGAGTGCTCTTTTTTGTTGCTTAAGCAAAAAACCACATTTTTCAGGAGGGGAAAAAACACACAGACACAATTAATCGCTGATCCCCAAGAAAATATGGGAAAATATGGGATGGGAATTGGGCGGGAAGACAAACAAAAACAGAAAATATTGGAAAATATGGGGAGTCATTTTATTTGTGTGTATTTATTTGTGTGTCCTTGGGTCCCTTGAATTTTGTTCGTCCGAGATCCGCCTGGAGGGGGCCACGCCCCACCCAAGAGCAGGCCTTCGCGCGCCTGGGCGGCAACATGCGCGCGGTCGAGGAGGTCCTCAGCCGCCACTTCTGGTACTCGGCCTCGGCTCGCCGGCAGGACAGAGGGAGGGGGGACAGAAACACACACGGAGACACGAGTCATCGTCGATTCCCCAGGAGGTATGGGAAAATATGGAGAGTGGGGGGGTGGACGACGAAAACCCAGAACAAATATATATTAAATATATATATATATATATATATTATAATATATAAATAAAATATAAAAATGGGAAAGTTTGGGGATCCTGTTACTCCTGGGATCTGCGCCCAGACATGCGACGTCCTGTTTTCTTCAGGACGGCGCCCCTGGAAGTCCAGACCCTTTCCCCGGGACCCGTTTTTCGTCCCGAGTCGTTTTCTGACGGTCCCGAGGCCCGGCGAGGGCCCCCGGGGCCGAAAGTAGCCAAACACCTCCCGTCCTGTTTTTTTGTTGTCATGTCTGGGTGCGTACTTCTCCTGTGTGTCCCCTGGGCGCCTTCACTAAAGGCCTCCCAGATGGGGTCGGAGTAGATAGGGTCGGAAGATCGCGCCGCATCGCCGATACATCGGCGATGCATCGGCGATGCATCGGCCATGCACCAGCGATGCATCGTCGACGTCGGCGATGCACCGCCGACATCGGCGTGGAGCAAATCAGGCTCCACATCGAGCCGCATCGGCGATGCACCGGCGATGTGGCGCGATCCACCGACCCCATCTACTCCGACCCCATCTAGGAGGCCTACACCTTAGGCGATGCTTAAGAAAACTTAAGTTTTCGGCCAGAGTCTCGATTATTCTTAACGTTTCAATGTAAATCTTGAGATTTTAACGGAAACGTTGGGCTGTTACTCAAGTTCTGAGACCATGAATTTCTCAACCCGTGATTTCTTAAGCATTTCGCAGGGTGCAATTAAGTGCGTTTGGGTGTGTTTTGAACGACCTTTTGCTGTCTCAGCGCCGGTTTGGTTGCCCCCCCCCGCTTCCGCCACCCCCGAGTGGAGCTGCATGAGTGCGTACTTCTCCTGTGTGTCCCCCTGGGCGCCTCCACGAG